CCAGAGCAGTTCTAACCTTAGTTGGAGAACTGTTCCCTCTTTTTGCTGAATGTTATGTAGATTTACATTTTAAAATCCTCTTTCAGATCTGGATATGTAGCTCCGTGCGAGAGTCTTGCTGGCTTACACGGACCCTGTGTCAATTCCCAGCACTGCAAAGACAACAAGAATCCATCATTCAGTGAGTCTTCCTCTCAATGTGGAATTCTTTAATCCTGAATTATAAATGCTCGTAACAATATCAAGCTTTTTTCATTCTCTAAAGGACATTGGAGTCTGGATATATGTGCACACACCTGTAATCCCAGTGACTGTGAAGGCTGAGGAAATGGGATCCTATGTTCATGTCCCATCTCAGAATTTCTGCAAGACTCTCCTTTGAAATAAATATTAAAAACTGCTGAAAGGAGGCCTTTGGACGTGGCTCAGGGACAGAGCACTTGACTTGCATGTGGGATGCACTGGGTTCCATCCTCAGCACCTCATATAAAAAATAAAATATAGGTATGGTGTTGACCTACAACTAAAAAATAWAAAATAAACAGGGGATGTTTCTCAGTGTAAAGCACCTCTGTATTCAACACCCATTATGAAAAGTAAACAACACCCCCACACACACATACACTCCCGTCACACACATTATAGGCTGGGAATGTAACTCAGTGGTATGGTCAGTGTGTAGCATGCACAGGACCCTGGGTTCAGGCCCCAGGACCAGGTGTGGTGCCATGCACCTCTAGTCCCAGCAACCTGGGAGGCTGAGGCCGGAGTTACTTTAGCCCAGGTTCAAGACCATCCTGGGAAACATAGTGATGCCGTGTTTTGTGGCATATTTTTAATACAAGCAGAGTGATGACTTTGATGTTTTTGCTCAAGGTTTGTTTGAGGTCATGTGCAGCAGTGCACACCTATAATCCCAATGCTTAGTAGGCTGAGGCAAGAAGATCACAAGTTCAAAGCCAGCCTCAGCAACTTAGCAAGGTTGTAAGCAACTCATTTTTTGAGACCCTGTCCCTAAATAAAATACAGAAATGGGTTGGGGATGTGGCTCAGTGGTTCAGTTCCCCTGAAGTCAATTCCTGATATGCCCCCCCCCAAAACAAAATCACTTTCATCATTTATTTTTTGTGGTTCCACACAAGCTTCAGGGTTGTTTCTCTTTCTATGAAGACTGTCATCAAAAGACTGCGGTGAACACGTAGATCACGTTGGGTGTCATGGATACTTTCATAGAATGGATTCTCTCAATGCATGAAAATGGTATATCTTTCCTTTTTTGTAATCTTCACAATTTCATTCAATGTTTTATAGTGTTCTTACAGAGATATTTTACCTCTTTGATTAAATTTATTCCTAGGTATTTTTATTTATTTTGCTGTGCTGGGGATTGAACTGAGGGTTTCCCATTTGCCAACAAACACTCCACCACTGATCTATATCCCAAGCTTTATTATTTTGTGGGGAACAGAATTTCACAAAGATGCCCAGGGCGGCCAAAAGATGACCAGTGCTGACAGGGGAGTGGGGAAAAGGAGCCCCTGTCCACTGTGGGTAGGAATGTAACACACAGCCCTATGGAAAACTGTGGCGTTTCCTTAAAATAAAAACAGGGCTTCCACGATTTCCAGCAACCCCACTAGCAAGGGTACGTGCAAATAAAGCTGAATGAGTTCGTTGAAGAGACACCTGCCCTTCTGTGTTCCTTGCGGCACTGTGCACAGCAGCYAGGAAACCAAACCAGCCTCACGCCCACCAGTTGATGGGGCAATGGAGAAAACGTGGTAGATCATACAGTGGGATGCTATTTCCGCCATACAAGAGGAGGGAATCCTGCCATTTGAAACAGCGTGGATGGGACTAGAGGTCATTATAAGTGAAAGAAATTAGGCTCTGAAAAACTACTCATGACCACACTCCTGTGGACCTCAAAAAGTTGACCTCATAAAAGTTGAGAGTAGAGCTGGGTATGATGCACACGCCTGTAAACCCAGCTACTTGGGAGGCTGAGGCAGGAGGATCACAATTCAAGGTCAGCCTCCGCAACTTAGTGAGACAATTTTAAAAAACAGAAAGGAGTGGTGATGTGACTCAGGGGCTAAGCACCCCTGGGTTCAGTTCCTGTAACACACACACACACACAAACACACACACACACACAAACACACACACACACACACACACACATGTTGGGAGTACAATGGTGGACAGCTGAGGCTGGGGAGGGAAGGGAGTGGGTGGGTAGGCTGGCCAGTGCATGCTGAGCCAGTTAGGAGGCGAGTTCTGGTGTTCTGTGACACAGAAGGACAATTACAGGTGATAACTGATAATAAAATATAATGCTTTGTCTATTTAAAAAACTAGGAAAGATAGTGCACGTTTCAGCACAAATACCATAAAGTTTAAGCAGAGAGACGTGGCCCTGATTGGAACATGGCACAATGTCTACGTATTGAAATCACACGCTCCTCCATAACCATGTTCAATTTTTATATTTTTAACTAAAAAAAAAAAATGGTGAGTGAGGAACTTCTTCCCGATGGTGTACATATTTCATTCTTCAAATTTTCATTTTATGGTTTTGACATGAGTTGGTGATTTTGCCCCAGGTCCTTACTGTGAGGACTGAGAAATGACCACGACTGTTTATTTTTGGCTGGAGGTCGCAGCAGCAGGGGGCACTCCCAGGAGGACTGAAGAGCCCGGGGCCATGTTGGCGATGCCAGGCAGCTGGGTTTGCCTGTGTCCACCGAGATCTGGCTCCAGCTGCCGGAAGCCGGTGCCGTTGGACTTCTGTGGGCAGCGTTCCAGGGAAGCCCACGGTGCTTCAGGTTCTGCAAGTGCATCTCCAGGCCCCTCCCTGGTGGCAGGACCCTGGGCCACCCGGGGTCAGAGTGGAGCTCTGCTCTGGCCTGAGCAAGACCCCCAGGATCTTCCCAGGCAGGCTTCCTGCTTCCTGGCTCCCGGGCATTGTCCTGGCTCCTGTCTTCACTGAAACACCTTTTACTTCTCCAGAGACGGTTAACGGAGGTGGAGAGGGCGGAGGACGAGGCACACCAGCAGTGCCTGTCAGGCGGGACCAGCACCGCGCTCTTCAGTGGGTGAAGGAAGCTGCTCAGCGTCCACCTGGCCGTTGTGGCTGAGATCCGGAAGGTTCCTGCAAGGCGGGGCTCTCGGTGTGCCAGGTTCAGAGGTGCCTCCCGGACCTCAGGAGGAGAGACGGGGGAGGAAAAACAGGGGCCAGTTCACCATCAGACGTGAAGGTCAGCCTGGCTCCTTCCAAATCCAACAGGGAGCCTGTTACCGCCTCAGCAAGCCACCTCGCAGCCTGCCTCTCGCCAAGCTCCTGAGGCTGGTCGAGTACTTGCAATCCTCCGGCCTCAGTCCTGCAGGTGGCTGGGATTACAGGCGTGCACTGCCACACCCAGGCCAAAACTCATTAAGAAATGGGGCTGCCAGGCTCATTGTAAACGCGGGCAGTGGAATTCCTTGGAAGCTCCCCAGACGTGGAAAGAACTTTCAGGGTCTGTGTCAACCTCCAGATTCTGGGCCCTGAGACGCTGGGGAGGGGGTGTCCTCCGCCTCCTGGGGGGAGTGGCCGGCCCCACCCTCAGGAGGCATGGACCCATAGGGGGCTCCTGCTTTGTGCTGTGCTGGACCCGCAGGCCACCTACCTTGAACTCCCTGGGAGGGATCTTGTCCCTGGCCGGGTTCGAAGGTTTCACCGGGTTCTTCTTTTTTCTGCACACGTAATCTAGATCTTCTATTTTGAAACCAAATCTAAGTGAGTAAATCAAAGGATTTTGATGGAGACAGTGGACGTCATATGAATTTGCAGTTGCTTCTTAAGGCAAACCAGAGGGACAGGTGATTCCCTGCAGGCCTAATCACAGGTCATCATTGCCCATTCCTGGAACATTGTGAAGGTTTCTTAAGCCTGAAAATAAATTTTCTAAAGCCTGAAAATTCTGAACCTGGCATCCAGTCCTGTCCCAATCTGGTGACAGGCTCTTGTCCTGAAAGCCCCCAGGGCCCTCATCACAGGTGCAGTCCTTCCCGAGGCCTGGAACCCTCGCCGCCTCCCCTCGCCGTGCGTGTCCTGGGCCAGGCACGGTGGTGCACACAGCAGTCCCGGCTGCTCTGGAAGCTGAGGCAGGAGGACCACAAGTTTGATCCTTATCAAGACTAYCTCCAGAAATAAAATTTAGAAAAGGTCTGGRGATGGGGCTGGGTAAAAAGAAGAACTACCAGCAGGGGCTGAGGGACCAGCGCTGAGGGCAGGGGGTGGGGGCAGAACCAGGCAGCTGGCCCTGGGGGCCTGGCAGGGGAGTGAAGTGGCCAGGCTGGCATGGCTGTCCTCCTGCACGTCTCCCTTCTGGGACTCGGAGCAGCCGCGGGCCTCATCACTCACCTGGACTCTCGACTCAGGAACTCCGACTTCCTTCGCAAGCTGTTCCCTGCCATGGATCCCGGGGTAGGGGTTGTTCCTGAAGGCCCTGGTGAGGGTGTGCAGCTGAGAGGGGCTGTAGGTGGTGCGGCACCGTCGGGCCTCCTCACCTAGGGTGGGTGGGAGAGGATTAGCAGGGGGCCACGGTGACCCACGGGCAGGGCAGAACCTCCAGGGCCTTGCCGGGCCCTGGCTACCGCCCAGCTGCATCCCTGCTGCTTGTTTTTGTGTGAGACAGGGTCGGCCTCCCCGGCAGCTGGCCTGTAGGAGTGTCCACGGCCCACAGTGCAGGGCTGCTGTGTCCCTGCTCCTGGCAGCAGCTGGCTCCCCTGTGGAGACAGATCTGCACAGGCTGCTTACTTCGAATCCGTTCTGGAAGTTGGCTTGATTCCAAAGCCTCCTTAAGTTCTGGTCTTTCCTGGAACCTGTGTCTCGCTCTGCGATTCTGAAACCAAACCTATGGAGAAAAGAAAGCAAGACCCTGAAGAACAGCAGAAGGTTCACGTGGGCAGCTCCACGGTGGGCTGTGACCCCACAACCAAGCTGGACTTCCCTCCACGTAGCCATCTGAATCAGATGATGCACTTTATGCCATCTTAGGAGAGAAAAAAGTGTCTGTTTTTGCATGCTTTGCTTTGGCTCCTTTCATTTCTTCATTCCTTTTTTCTTTTTGGTGATATAATGGTTGGAACCCAGGGATGCTGTACTATTGAATCACATCCCCAGCCCTTTTTATYTTTTATTTCAAGACAGGGTCTTTCTAAGTTGCCGAGACCTTGAACTTGTGACCCTCCTGCCTCAGCCTTCTGAGTTGCGGGAACTGTGGTGGTACACAACCATGCCAGACCAAGGGCAACAGCTCTCTGGGCTTACACAGAGCCCTCAGCACACTGCTTGGAACCTGTGCCATCACAGTGATTTTCCTTTCTTCCTTTCCAATTCCAGTTTTGGAGATACAGAATTTGTAACTTCAGTGACTCAGGAGGCTGAGGCTGGAGGACGGCAAGTTTGAGGCCTGCCTGGGTTATTTAGCAAGAACCCTGATCAAACTAGAAAGGGCTGAGGATGTAGCTCAGTAGTAGAGCTCCCTTGGGTTCAATCCCCAGTACTAGAAAGAAAGAAGAAAGAAAGAAAGAGAGGAAGGGAGGAAGGAAGGAGAGGATTTGTAACTCACCTGGATTCTCGACTCATCAGTGTTGACTTCCACGGCAAGTTTTTGTTTGGTAGCATAATTTGGGTATGGCATCTGGTTAAAGGTGTCGATGAGGATTTTCAGCTGCTCTTTGGTGAACTTAGTGCGATCACGCCTATARCTCCCTGGCATGGGCCCTGTGGAAAGATCAGGAAATAAGCACCATCAAGTGGGTAAGCTTACCTGGAGACGGCCGGTCCTGCCTCTCAGTTTCTCTCCCCAGCAGGGAGGGGCTTCCTGCCCTCCCCGCCACGCCCGTCAACACAGCTGATCTTCCAGCTTCTCCAACTGACCCAAATGCTGCAACCGGACACGCAGGGTCCTGTTTTCAAGCCCCATAGAAAACGGTGGCRCTATTTTCGTGTAGATCATAAGCAATGGGTTAAGAGGATGTGCGCCGGGTCCATCTGGGGATGAAGAACTGAACCCAGAAGCAAAGCACGGGCCATTTAGCCATTCCAGGTTTTCTGGTCAAGATCCCTGGGTCTGTCCTTATCACTCACCATCACAGRCAAACTAGATCAATTTCCAAAATATTCCAAAAAAATGTTACGTGCACAAAATTAATCACAAAAGGCGTTCCAGGGGTTGGGGATGCAGCTTAGTGGTGAGGTCCTGGCCTCGCAGGTGCAAGGCCCTGGATCGAGCCCCCAGCACCCCAAAAGGAGGACTAAAAGGATTCCATACTTTGCCCAGAATCTCCAAGAGGAAAAACACCACATCATGTGACTTTAGATACAGGATATCTCCTTGAAGTAGCCAAAGCTGGAGTCTTTGGAGCATACTGTTTGTAACCTAAAGGGACGCAGTGAACTGAGGCGAAGCATTGCTGGGCTACTGGAGATTTGGGGGCACGCCTGGAAGCATTTTCATTTGACCCTCCAATGCTGGCCCACCACCCCCTGCCCACTGCGCCTCACAGAGGGAGGCCCACCCTGACATGGGCCCAGGCCCCTGCGGGGAGCCCTGGCGATGTCCTGCCCGGCTTAGCCCTTGCCCGGCCTGCTGTTCCGCAGGGCTCCACACTGTGCCCCCAGCCCAGCTGCCCGGCTGCTCCAGATCYTCGCACTGCCCCCTCCCTCCTACGGTCACCGCGTCCAGCGGTGCACTCCCTTCAGCCTCCTTTCTCTCTTCCTTGGCCTGATTCAGAGCCGAGATGCCTGGGTCCTGTCTGCGTTCCCTCCTCCCACAGGGCGGCCCTCTGCCTGGCTGGGGAAATCCTAGTGGACAGCCTGGGCCTGGAGTCCTGGGCAAGGACACCAGACAGAATCAGCATGAAACCAGGCACCTGGCCCCTCTGGGCTCAGGGTCCCCGCGACAATGTATGGCACCTGATATCGCCCCTGTGAACAGAGGCTGAGTGACGCCCAGGGGAAATGACGGGTCTGACACCACAGGTGCCTAGCCCTCTGCGAGGGGTCCTGCAGGGGGAAGTGGCGGGGGGACCCCCCCTGTGGCCCTGTGCACTCAGGGAGGCTTTCTCCAGCCCAGAGTTCAAGACCCCCCTGGAACACCAGCTGGGCAACCCCTAGAGGGCGGCAGAGACCCCTCTCAAAAAAACACCCAAAACACCCCTCACAGGTCACACCCATCTTGTACCTCATTTGCATCATTTGCATCTTGCGGGGCCTTGWCTGCACCCACCCATTTATTTATTTATTTATTTTTGGGGATTGAACCATGAGCACTGGGCYACTGAGCCACTCCCCCAGCCCTTTTTATTTTTTCAGACAGAATCTTGCTAAGTTGCTGAGGCTGGCTTTGAACTCGTGATCCTCCTGCCTCAGCCTCCCCAGCCGATGGGATTACAGGTGTGCGCCATTGTGGCTGGCTCTCCGTGATGCATTTAGGAGAATGTTGTAATAGCAAACAGTTGGCAAAATTTAAGTGGACCATCACCAAGGGAATATAAACAAAGTGTGGTGCATGATAGAATTTTATGCTTTAGACCAAACTCATGGGGGAAGATTAGATTAGCAAGATAGATCCATCTAAAATATACTGCATTCAGCTGGTGAGGTGGTGCGTGCCCGCCATCCCAGCGATTCTGGAGGCTGAGGYAAGAAGATGGCAAGTTTGAGGCCAGCTTGGGCARCTTAGCAAGACCCTAAGCCACTTGGTGGGACTTTTGTCTCCAATACCATCAGGGCTAGGGAGGTGGCTCAGGGGTTGAGCACCCCTGGGCTCAACACCCAGTCCCCACCACACACACCAAAAAAGGATCACTGAGAAAATGACCTGTGGAAAGATCTGATGATCGACAGCGGTGGTGACATCTGGGAGTCACCCATTTCCAGAAGGGACAGAGCCAATGTAAAGACCCAGAGAAAGTCTGAAGAAGGACAAAGGGACAGGATATGAGGTCACAGACCCTCCAGGGAGCCAAATTAGATGGACAGTGGTAGGGACAGGAGCTTTCATTCGGTGACACAGGCAGTCACCGAAGGCTGTGACCATCCACCAACAGAGCAATCGCATCACACCAGCTAGGGCAGGCTGCAGCACGGGCTGAGTGAGAAGATGGGGCGCTCGGCTGGGCACACCGTGGTCTGAGACATCTGTGAGACCAGTAGGCCCTCAGATGGACACACCAAAGTTCAGGAGAAGAGCTCTGGAAGCGGCTCTGAACCGACGCTTGGAGCCTARCTCAGAGAGGCCCCAAGATCCCTCCTTTACTGAGTCTGTCTCCCTTTGCTTTTCCTTTCCTCCTTCCTGAAGCAAGTTTGTCCTGTTGGACTCTTGAATATTTGCACCTTCCTAAAACCCCGATGCTCAAATGCGCAGAAAATGGAATTTTTCTTTTTTTTAATATCAGGGATTGAACCCAGGGGCCTTAACCTCTGAGCCACGTCCCCAGCCCTTTTTTGTATTTTATTCAGAGACAGGGTCTCCTGAGTGGCTGAGGGCCTCCCTAAGTTGCTGAGACTGGCTTTGAACTCATGGTCCTCTTGCCTCAGCCTCCCATGCTCAGCAAATGGCCTATCTTCAAAACACTACATCAGGGAAGCCTTTTTTTCCTTTCCCCAGGATGGATATTCAAATACTTAACCAACAGAATTCCCACAAYTTCTAACAGGCCCAATTTCCTCCCCAAACCAGGATAATCTGTCAGGTGGGCTGTGAACTTACTGTTTGAAGAGCTGTCTTGTGCCATGTTGGAAGAGAGTCTCAATGACCAAGAATCCATCCAAGAGATGAGTCGTCGCTGGGCTGAGGCTGGGTTTTATAGGATCAACCCAGATGGCTCCACCCTAAGTTGATCATTTGGATAATTCTCAAGTTCCTCCTCTAGTAATCTCATCTTTTCTCTCTTAATCTAAGGTCTAGATAGGATTCCTGTTCAATCAATAGGGATTTAATCTTATACAAATTCACAGGAATCCCTACACCTAAACCACCACAAGAACATTTTAGCCTATAGTAGCTTACCATGCTGACTCATGTTACGTGTTCCTGACACACAAGATATTCCTTCTAGTTGTTTGGAAGTGATTTCCTCTTCTCTTAAAGGTGTCTGTGCAGGGATGGTGGTCTTGAGACCCCAGAGGGCCACTGGTAAGCCCCAGAGGAATGGAACCCCAGGGAAAGGCCGAGTGCCGAGGTCTGATCTTGGACTTCCAGGCTTCAGAACTGCGAGAAGACAAACTTTGGCCAAGTCAYGCATTGTGTGTGGCTTTCTTAGGGCCATCCTGGCTGATGAATGTGACACCCATTCCCCCTCTGAAGTCCCTAATGCCCMCTGAACAGGACACCGGCTCCTTGGCCAGGACTATGGCGATCTCATGTTCTCGTGTTCCATTCCAAACATGATCACTGATATCCAGAACACTCATGCAGGTCACCCMCCACACATGAGCTGCACAGGTTACAGAAAGGCTAAGTGGGGACAAGGGCATCCTAGGGCTTCAGAGGCAAGGCAGACACAAATGCAGAGCCGCCGCAGGTGGTCAGATAACYGTGTTTGTTTGATACAGGGATTGAACCCAGGGGTGCTTTACCACTGAGCCACATCCCAGCCCTTTCTATTTTTTTTTATTTTGAGACCCAGTCTTGCCAAGTTGCTGAGGCTGGTCTCAAACTTGCCATCCTCCCACCTAAGCTTCCTGAGCTGCTGGGATCACACTCATGCACCACCACACCTGGCGACAGGTGCTAATTTTTTTTAATCAGCATGACTCAGTTTATCAGTTGGTCTTATGATGGTGCTGTTCTTGTGAGCCTGCTATGTTGTTACCCTAGATGAAGCATGTGTTTCTTTCCACAGTGTCASAAGTTACTGATTAACCACAGATTCTCAGGCCACACCGCTTTATCAGGGCAGTCACTGACCTGGTGGTCCTGTCAGGTCATCACAGGCATCGTAATCTCTGACATCTACAGCACTTGAGTCACACATCTCACTTTGCACAATGATAGGTGGGTTACACAAAGGCTAAGGGAGGGCCGAGGCAGCCATGGGGCTTCAGGAAGCTGACCTGGAGCAAAGGCCAAGAGCAGACATGAAAGCAGAGTCCCTGGAGTTGGTCCCATAACACCAGGCACCAGCCCAAGGACTGTTCAGGGAGCACAGCTGTCAAAGCACCAGCGCTTACTCTAGGCCAACGTCCCCACCAAAAGCAGCTTCACAGTGTCCTCTCAGAGTGGAACTTGTCTGTGCTAAAGTCCGAGGACAGAGAGTCAAGATTGTCACTGTGGAGATTTTCCTGAGCAAGGCTCATGATGAGTGTCCAGGTGACRGGATCAGGGTACCTCCTATCCAGTCTCAGTGTGCTCTTTCTTTTATGGATCTTGAGTGAGGGGGCTGMATTATTTGGWAGTCTGAYATGTTCAGTAAACTCATGGGGTTGGGTGTGGTGGCCCACGCCTGTAATCCCAGCAGCTCTGGAGCCTGAGGCAGAAGGGTCACAAGATGGAGGTCAGCCTCAGCAATTTAGTGAGGCTCCAAAGCAACTTAGTGAGATCCCGTTTTAATAAAAAGTGCTGAAAGGTGGGTCAGTGGTAAGCACCCCTGGGTTCAATGCCYAATAACACCAACAGACAAAGATCATGGGCTTGATTTCACTGACKTGAGTTTCATATGCCCATGCATCCATGTCCTTCTGATTAATTTGATAAGCTCATGAGTGGTCATAATCATTAACACGATCAATGTCTTTATGAGTTTGTGCCTATGCCAGAYGGATTGTTGTTGTTTACTAGTACTAAGAAAATGTGTCAACACATTTGAATTCTTAAACTCAAAAGGAGTAGCTCATAAGATGGAATCATTCAGAGCAGGGAGAAGCCTGAGAACTGATGTTCTACACACCATGAAGTCACTCATGGCAGGCACAGCCTGAGAACTGATGCTCTGTACCCCATGGAGTCACCCATGCAAGCGCAGAGTGAGAACTGCTGTGTTGTACACCATGAAGTCACTCAGGGCAGGCACAGCCTGAGAACTGGTGTTCTCTAATCCATGAAGTCACTCAGGGCAGGCACAGCCTGAGAACTGCTGCTCTGTATACCATGGAGTTATGCAGGATGGGCACAGCCTAAGAACTGCTGTTCTCTAAACCATGGAGTCAATCAGGACAGGCACAGCCTGAGAACTGCTGTTCTGTATTCCATGGAGTCACTCAGAACAGTTGGAGCCTAAGACTGCTGTCCTACACAGCATGGAGTCACTTGGGGCAGGTGCAGCCTGAGAACTGCTGCTCTCTACACCACATAGTCACTGAAGGCAGACACAGCCACAGAAGTGCTGTTCTACACACCTTGGAGTCACACAGGGTTAGGTACAGCCTGATAATGGCTTTTCTGCATACCTTGGAGTCAGTCACAGTGCAGCCTGAGAAGTGTTATTCTATACCACAGAGTTACTTTGATTAGGAGCAGCCTGGAAAAATATGTTCTGTGCATTATGGAGATTCTAAGGATTGCAATAAACTGAGAACTTCTGTTATGTACACCATGGAGTCACTCAGGKTGGGTGAAGCCTGAGAACAGCTGCTCTATACACCATTGACACTCTCAGGGAGAAAGCAGCCAGAGAAGTGGTGTTCTACACACCATGGAGTCACAGTGCAGGCACACCCCAAGAGCTATTGTTCTGTACACAATGGAGTCACTCGGTTCGCATAGCCTGCTTTTATACACACCATAGAGTCACTCAGGGTAGGCACAGGCTTAGAACTACTGTCCTGTACACCATGGAGTCTTTCAGGGAAGGTGAAGCCTGAGAACTGCTGTTCTATACACCACTGAGTCACTGAGGGAGGAGCCTTCAACTGCTGTTGTACATACCATGGAATCACTCAGGGCAGGCACAGCCAGAGAACTGCTATTCTGTGCATTATGTAGTCACTCAAGGGATGCACAGCTTAAGACTTCTGTCCTAAACATCATGGAGCCTCTCAGGACGGGGGGAGCCGGAGAACCAATGTTCTGTACACCATGGAGACACTGAGGGAGAGCACAGCCAGAGAACTGCTGTTCTATACACCATTGAGGCACTCAAATTTAGGTACAGTTTGAGCACTGTTGTTCTACACCAGTGGAGTCACTCAGGGCAGGGACAGCCTGAGTTGTGTTGCTCTGTACACTAAGGAGGTATTCAGGCAGGCACAGCCTGAGAACTGCTGTTCTC